ATCCCCAGGACCTCCCTTAAAAACATAAAAATAAAAGATCAGAGGAGGGTTCCCTTGATTGCATAAAAATTGCAGGCATTCTATTACAGAGCTGACCCTCCATGTCCCAGGGGGTTAAGAACCATGATGAACCTTCCAATCAGCTTCTGCCAGGAAAGCGGGATGGTAGACGGCGCATTTGCAGCAACCCGGCCCGTCATCCAGCTCAGTCACTCATGAACTGTGTGACTTCAAGCCCATCGTTTCAGTTCAATGGGCCTCAGTTTTCTAACTTGTAGAAGTGGAGATAAAACTGCCTACCTCATAGGATGGCTGGAAGAGTAACCGCTGACCCAAAGGAGGGTCACTCCCATATCAGGATGAACTATTACCTCCATCAATCGGCCGGTTCCTTTCCCGTCCCCAGAGCTCATCATAGCTCTCATAACACCATTTCCTATCCTAGGAGTTTCCTAACACCTTGATAAAAGCAATAGGACACTCACTCCTCATTTTTGATATTTTCAAAGTCAGACACAAGTAACATTCTCCTGAGGACGGTGCCTTACAGCTCTCTCTGAACACTTCCCCAATCAATGCAATGCTCACTAGTTCTCAAATTTTTTTCACTTCATTAAGAGTAGTGTGCTTGTTTTGTTATTGTTTGCCTTTTCAGGGAAAATTGGCTTCCTAGCGGACCATCCCCACACCCTCACAACTAGGCCTCAGACAACACTAGAGGTCACAGAATGAATCTGTGTAACATCAAAAAAAAAAAGGGGAGGATTCCCTGTTATTTGACAATTTCTGTCCATCTAGAAGCAGACTGTGTCCTAAAAGGGACCCCATCACCCATGGAGGGAAGAACAAGGCAGCAGGATTGATGTCTGTGGGTAAGAACGAGAAACCAGGAGATCCCAGTTCAAGTCTGCACCACCACTCTCCTGGCTGGAGCATCCTCATGTGTAAACCAAAGAGGGCTGGATTCACACCCAGACCTTCACATTTCAAAGGCCAATGAAAATTGTTTTTGATCGCGAATTGACTCAGGAATTTTAAAGCTGAGAACCAATTTCAGAATTGGGGAATTAACTGGGAATCACTTTTGATTTTTCGGAGATAAAAATATTAAAAAGTACCACACACTAAAGCAGAACAAGTTAAAAAGAATCAACCGCTGATAACAACAGCATGGATGAAATTCAGAAGCATTATGCTAAGTGAAGGAAACCTGATGTGAAAGGTTGTATAATTCCATTTCTAGAACATTCTACAAAGTGCAAAACTAGAGACGGAAAATTGATCAGCGGTTGCCAAGAGCTGTGCGCGATGGGGAGGGACTGACCGTAAGAGGGTAACGAGGGAAACCTGGGGGATGGCAGAATTGTGATGGTGGTGATTTCAAGACTGCATACATTTGTCAAGACTCAATGAACTTCACACTTAAAAGAACTAAATTTTACTTTCTGTAAATTATAACTCAATAAACCTGAAATTTTTTTAAAGGCAACTGATTGATCAACAAATATCCTACCATCTTCTACAATAAAAAGACTGTTTTAACCCTCCAAAAGCAAGGCAATGTGATTTCTGAATCAAGGGCAGTGCTTTATATTGAATAAAGGTGTCTTTGGGAACAATTCCCTCCTTGTTTTTTTCATTTCACTGCTAGACTGGGGAAAACCTCATTAGAGGCTGACAGAGGCAGGTCTGGGTTTGGGAACCACTGCACTGGTCATCTTTTTTAAAGCCCTTTGTAGCTTCGGCATTCTATCTGGAAGTCGGTTATTCCGCAATTCTCACCAAGGTGAGTTGGAATGATAACCCTAATTCATCTGCCTAGTATTTGTTCCAGGAACACCGGATTTTAAACAAAACGCCTTTTAAAGGTAAGATTCCGAGCAGCTGGAGGGAGAATATTCTCCACAATCTACTGGGGAGGGATCTGCCGGCTGAGAGAGAATTAGAAAGACCACAGGGAGAAGGCTTAGCTTGGGTTCTTAACAACTTCGATGAAAATTCAGCAGCCATCCTAGGGTTAACCGGGTATCAAGTTTATATGCACTTTAAGCCCGACTTAATTTTCACTGCTTACTTCTGCCTGAGCAGACTTGGACTTCATAAGGATTCTGCTGAACAAGGCCTGTTCACAATTGAAAAATTATGATTCCCTACCTGATCACAGTTGCTATGCTGTAAATGAGTGATGGTAGCAGTCTCCTCTCCAGCTCTCAAATAAGGAGTCCTACAGGCCCTAACTTCCAAAGTATTATTTCTTTGGTTAGAATATTAGTAGATTAATCTGTATTCTTGAAGCTACTCAGAGACTGCATCAGGAAATCAAACTTTCCTTCAGAGAATCTTCAAATTCTCCTATTTCTACGACCACTAGGTACCTATCATTACCTTTCCCTGCTCCAGGGATCCCTCAAAACAGCGATGCACTTAAAGTTGGTTTCCCTACTGCAATTTTCACACTGAGAATAAATTTCAGATGAATCAATGTTTTAAATGTGATAATTAAACTATAAATTCACTGGAAGAAAACGGAAGAAGGTTTTCATGATTTTGGAGCAGAGAAGCTCTTTCTAAACAAGACACAAATCCAAAACCAAAAATGAAAATATTCATAAATTTGACTACAAAAAGTAAATATTCTACATAGCAAAAAAAATGGATTCAAAGTCAAAATACAAATGACTTACTAGGAGAAAATATATAAAGTACAAATGACAGGCAAAGGACAAACATAATGAACACGTACACAGCTAGTGCAAATCAAGGAGGAAAGGTGAAATCATAGAAAAATGAGTGAAGGATACAAACTTGCATTTCACATAAAAAACACACAAGTAGCCAATAAATATTTGAAAATATAGTCAGTCCCAGTTATGGTTTTAGAGTGAAACGAAAATAATGCGGAATCCATTTTTTTATACGTGAGACTATCAAAAACTGAATGTTAATAAGACCCATGGTTAGTGAGAAGGAAAAAAACACCCCTACACACAGAACTGATGGAGTACAAAGCAGCGCAACTTTTTAAGATGACAACTGAGCAATGTCTGTGAAAGTTTAGAAGACATATTCTATGACCCAGTACTCCCCCACTGGTATAAATTCATACAGGTACACACCTAGAGGTACCAAAAGATATATGTACAAAGATGGTTATTATAGCATTACGTACAACAGCAACCAAATTAAGTCCACCAGTGAAGGACTTAACAAAGCACTGGCATCACTCCTTAGAACAGCCTCAGACCACCCTAAAAAGAGTGTAGTAGACCCATATGTCTAATAGGGAAAAACGTCCAAAATCTACTAATAAATGAAAACAAAAGGCAGAACAGTGTGCATGATAGGATCCCATTTGTGTAGAGATACAGATACATGCACAGAAACATCCGTACTAACACAGCCTAAATGAGTCAGACTGATGCACCGGCACAGTTAAGAACCCTCATCTCCAATGAGCACATACGGCAACAGGTGGCGATACATCCTTTGTATTTTATCCCCTTTGGTTCTATTTTATAAATAGTAAAAAGATACATTTAAAAGAAAAAATATTTCTATAGTGCCTAGCCTAGGTGTTTACAAGATACTAATGAAATGTCCAAAACTCCAACTAAAATTCCTAGAAAATAAGAAGCCAGATGAAAAAAGTCTTTAGAAGTGGAGGCAGGGGGGTCCTACCTACAGTTACCCAGATCCTGCTGGGGCCAAATCAAGAGAGGCGTCATAGCAAGTCAAGGAGAAGAGGTCTTCAGAAAGGGAAAAAAAAAAGGTGAATGAAGTCACTGTGAAGAAATCATCTCAGTTATCTTTAAGAGGCAGAATAGGGAGGAATAACTAACCAAGACGTGTCCCACGGCCCTGAGCAAGGCAGGAGAGGTCACAGCAAAGAGAGTCCTAAGAAGTTTTAGGTGTGGGTCTTCCTATCAGATACATGGAATACAGAAAAAGACTGCAATCAGATATTGTAACTAACTTCGAACAAATGATATAAAAGGGACAGCCCTTTGAACATTTTAACAAATATTTATTGCTCTGAAGAAAGTCATTTTGCAAGTGTTTCCTATATATTTTTAAAACTGAAGTATAGTTGGTTTATATATTGTGTTAGTTTCAGGCATACAACATAGTGGTTTGGGTTTTTTGCAGATTATATTCCATTATAGGTTATTACGAGATACTGGGTATACTGTGCAACGCAGTAAGTCCTTGTCTCTTACCTATTTTATGTACAGTAGTTTGTCTGTTAATCTCGTATCCCTAACTTGTCCCTCCCCCCACGCTCTCCCTTTGGTAACCATAAATTTGTTTTCTATGTCTGTGCATCTGTTTCTGTTTTGTATACAGACTCATTTGTATTATTTTTCAGATTCCACATATAAGCAATAGCACACAGTATTTGACTTTCTCTGACTTGTTTATCTCCTATATTTTCATGACAGGAAAGCCTCTGAATAATTTATGAAAATGCCAAGCTCCTACCTCCTATCACATCTGATTCAAGATCTCACAATGAATCCCAAGGCGAAAATAATTCATCCTTCGATGCCAAATGACCCAAGAACACTTTTACACACTTAGATGTGAAAGCTCCTTGCAGAGCATTGAATCAATCAGGAGTCTCATTGTATTTAAGGCTCAGTGACAACAACCAGTCTTCAGGAACAAGGACCCTGACTGCTCTGCCACCACAACGAAACCATCAGCTCAAGCTTCTCAGCAGAGCAATTACCAGCTGCCTAAATGGACACCGAAAAGCACTAGAAATCTTCCCAGGATCAGTTCCAATAAAGTGTCTGCCTGCCTCTTCACTCTACCTACAAGCGAATCCTCCCACTTTTCTCTTGGCTTTAAGCATAATGTAGCAGGACGACGATGAATTCCTTAATGGTGGAGAACTTAAAAAGTAACATGGAAAGCAGCCTCCCCAGAGTCACAGATCACTGAGCTGCAGGGGAGCCACCCAAGCTGCCGACCGCCCCTACCTCCCCGGGGTTACTCACCTTAGGATTCATCTCCATGTGGTACTTGGCACACGCTCGAAGCTGAGTCACCCAGAACTGTTTCTCTTTTGCATCAGCAGCTGAAAGAGAGAAAGAAATGCTTGCAGCAATTGTGCCAAAACACATCCAACCTATTTCTACACCCACATCCAACCTATTTCTATGTCCCAGGTGGGGGCCTGGGCTGAAGGGTGGCAGAAGGAGGGAAAGGCAAGTGCAGGTTGTACTCACACCAAAAAACAGACGCCACTAAACCTCAACCCAAAAAATCCCTCTTACACCAAGTTAAAAAATTATTCTGAAATGTCTGTTATAAGAAGAATTTGCCATGTTTTTTAACCTCTTCTGAAAAAGCCATTTCTACTTCCTTAAAAGGCAGCAAGGAAAAGAAAGCAGGAATATTTTTAAATGCCTCTATCACGTATGACTAATACGAGGATCAAAGTACAGTATTTCAGGGCCCTGGTTATCGACCAGAGCTGTACTGTGCAGTTACCAGCCTTCACAAAGTAAGTGTTCAGTTGAATTACCATTTTAATATGTGTTCTCAAGAATGCATCTTACGATTGGACAGAACGAGGTACCAAATGTTGCCTTAGAGATCCTCAAGTTTCCCCCAAAGAGACATTAAAGTACAAGTCACTGGTAGAGTCACAATCTTCCAAATACATCCTCATCTCTCAAATATATATAATTATTTTCTTAAAAGATCATGGATACATAATAGGTTCTAATAAAATCTGAATGAATTTAATTACATAACTCACTGCATAAACATTTTAGTATTAACTGCATAAATGCTGACTATACAGAAACCAGAATGATTACCCTATTAATCTGTACTGTTTATAAAAATGGGCTTAAGTGCCATTTTTCAATTAAACCCAACTTCAGCTTGAACTTCAGGTGAGGAAATCTGGAGGTCTAGACCAGAAGACCAGGGCTCCACTTCCAAAGAAAAAGGATTTTTACAGAAATAAGAGCATTTTTTCTTAGGGAACTTCAAGAATTGCCCATTTGTGGCAGTATCCAAGGCTCTGCACCAAAAACATTCCCCAAAACTGTGCATCTACTGACATCAAGATTCAACTCTACACGTAGTGAGATGCAAAAAGAGAAAACCAACGCCCAAGTCCTCGTGGGATGGGCCGAGGACCAAGCAGAAATAGGCCTTTATCCTGCCTTTACTGTAAGTTTAAGCTATATTTTGCCCCTGTGATTAGTTCATGCAGATAATAAAACTTTTGTTTGCTATTAAAGCTATCCTCAAAAAAAAAAAAACCAACTTGGGGTTTAAAAAGAATTACAACTAAAAAGCAAAATGAGGTAACTTGATGGTCAAATTGGTTGGACTGTTTCTCTGTACGGGTTGGTGTCATTTCACAAACCAGAGGCAGAGGAGGGGAAAGCGCTATTAAGTTTTTCGCCTGCTATTGTTTCTGCTCTGATAATTTATTAAGCACTAAACAGCAAAGCAAAACCAAGGACCGCATAAATCTAGGCAGCTGGGACACGAACCGCATGAATCTCAAAAGAGACCATGAATCTTTCCACAGTTCCCCCTAAACTGAAGAACTTTCTCCAACTGTAGGCATTTTTATTTCATAGTTTTGGAGATTGTTTTATAGATCCTGAAATATGACTTGTATAGATAATAAAGGAGCCTCAGCTTAGCCTACACTTGGTAGGAAAGCTTGCAGAAATAACAGTGAAAACTGGACTCTGAGCTGGGGGAACGAGGCTCTCAGTCTGGCTTTGCAAAGTGACCCATCACTGTCAGTCCCCGGGTGGACAAGAGATGAGGGCATAGTTGGAAGACTGTGACTGCTGTATTCAGCCCTTCCTTGGGCGAAGAAAAATGTTATGCAAGAGGCAGAATTATCAACCACACCCTCAACACTTAATACACACTACTTTCCTCAGACCTTACTAAACCTGACTGTGTGTGTGCATGCGTGCAAACACGTGCATTTAGGATTTTGTTGTTTTGTTTCGTTATTTCGTGGGACGAAGACCGACAGTTTTTTCAGCAATGCACAGGCGGCAGAATGCTGGAAGAATGATCGAGCAGTCAGATGACACCGTTGCCGTCCAGTCTGGCACATCAGAAAACTTGTGTGATGGATGTGACTTGGGGGTGGCAGGACCTACCATTCTGGCCAAATGCTGGGCTCCCCAGAGGCCCCTGCTCACTCAGGAGGATGCTAAGCAGATCTCAGTTTTCAAGAAGCAAAGAGAATGGGAGAAACAGGACAACAGTGGACAATAGGAAGTAACTCAACAGCAGTTGGCTTCTCACCAGATTCTGATGCCACAGGGGGTTATGTAAGGGAAAAGATCCTTTACTAAGAGCTGGTTCTAGAGAAACTTTAAGGGGAAGATATGATGATGCTTAAAAGGCCTGTTTTGTCCTCAAAGCCCAGCCCCTCCAGCATCAGATTAAGATTCACAGTACAAGATCCAAGAAAATATACACTGAACTAATAATATGAATAATCTGCCCAAGTCCTAAGGCTCGGTTGGCTTTGCTATCAATCACCTTTCCTCTGTCCTTAATTCCTCAGTTAATTAGGACAAGTGCTTCCTAATGTCAGCCCTGTCTCCCCACCCCAGGGGTAGGAGAGGCAGTGTCTGTCACCAGAGTCCTCAAGCACAGCAAATTGTTAAAGGTGATTTCAAAAACAAACAACAGAGCCATCACCATGGTAACTGTGAACCCAGAAGGCCTGTCTGAAAAGTTCCCGGGAAGAGCACGGACCTCTCAGTTTGTACATCTCCCCGTTGGCAGAGTACACAACCAGCGTGTGGGGCGCCTCGTCACTCAGGGACACGATGGCTCCGGACAGAGACAGGGCCCCTCGAGGCTTCTGGTGCTTGCTTTGCTCGTTCACAAAATATTGCAGGATGCCAGCCTCGAAATCCAGCACAAAGTACCTGTGCGAAGAAACCACAGTGCATCAGTTTTCTCCCCCTGCCCACTCCTCCCAGCAGAGAAGAAAAGGAACATAATCCTTAAATTGACATCAAGGCTCCCAATCTGGAAAGCTGGAAACTAGAAATCCCTCCCAAGGGTCTTGGTAGGGAGAGAGCCCTGGATTCTTAAGTCTGAGTGGAGCTTGTCATAGGCATCCAGCGCAAGGACCAGGCCCATGCAGGATTTGGTGTGATGCCCACAAATGGCAAAGAAAGCAATGTATTGGGACTCACTCTGGAAACAGGCTCCATGTGACTTCCCAGGAGCAGCTAATTCACACCCTGGAAGCAGTAAGGCAGGCCTGCAGGGGTTTGGAGTTTTTTTGGGGGGGGTTCAAGGTATAGGCTTTTTTTTTTTTAAAGATAGTTCATAAGCTTAAGAAGTATTCTCTCCAGATTATAAAAGATTAGTTAAAATTGTTTAACAGGAGCTCCAGGACTCATCCACCCAGGGAATTGAGGTGCTCACACAGCCCCCTGGACACCCTCCAGCGGGCCCTTCCATAGATGACTTTACACACAGAGGCAAGAATTCCCTCCGCTCCGGGAGGCCGCAATGCATTGGACTGTACATCAGGTTAAACACAGGGTAACTGCTAGTAGCCTAAATCACTCAAAGAAATCTTGGTTGGTTAGCACCTGGCCTGTTTATACTCGCAATCCATCAGCAGGAGGTAGTCAAGACAACTCCCCCTTCCCCACCAGGATGGAGATGTCTTCGTCTGAGACTCGCATTCCCCGTGTGGCCCAGAGGCTCAGCACTGTCCCCAGTGACTTTCCCAGCCTCTCACTTCCTGCTCTCCCCTCACTGGCTCACCAAGTGACCTCATACACAGGGCCTTTGCCCATGCTGTTCCCCCATCTAGAGCAGTTACTCAAAGTGATCGTCTGCAAACTTACCAGTCCATAACATCAAAATTTTTCCTGCAACTGGGCTCTGCAGCAACATCCAACTACATGGTCAGGGAATGCGTCTCATTAAAGAAAGAGTCCAGACACTGTGACACACAAGCCACATAACCAGCTATGAATCAATCACAGCGCAATTAAAGGGGGAAAAAAGCAAGTCTTTCACCAGTTTGAGAAGTACTGGCTCACTCCCCACCTAGAATACAGTTCCTTCCTCTTCCTGCATGTTAACTTCTCAGCCTACAGGAGGAACTCAGGTGCCATCAACTGGCGAAAGCTTCGTCTGACCAGATCAAATATCCATCTCACAAGCTCTTACCCTGAACTTGTCCCACACGGCCCTGGCCCCATCAACAGTATATTTGCAGGACTGTCCAATTCAATGTCTGGTTTCCTCACTAGACTCCACTCTGTTTGGATGTGGAACTGTGTCCTCCCCCCAGCGCCTGACACTTCACTGATACTCAATTAACATATCCAGTAAATGAATGAAGGGGGAAAACTACCAAATTCCAGGTTCCAATCTGAGCACCAAAGCAGCTACTCACAAAGGCACTACAAAATATGTCACATCTTTGAGGGATACACAGTGATGCTACCATGCATACTAACAACTCAGGCAGTTTTCACAATTTCGATTCCAGGTTGCATTATATTCTTTCAAAGATGTCAGACTTTTGCAAAGCTGGGTTTTCAGCAAGTGCTGGGATAACAAGGAAACATCAATAGGGAACAGGAAGAGGGCAGCAATGCCACCAGGATTCTAAAGTTTAAGAAGCTACGTGGGGCCCCTAGGCACATGCATTCCATTTGTAAGTCACTGCAATTATTTAACAATAAGTTAGATATTTAGAATATTATGTAGAAATTACATTAATCAAATAAATTTTAACATATTAATAGAAATGACAGGTTAATTTAATAGAAATCTATTTTTCTGTTTTTATTAATGTTAATATATTACCATATACTTTCCAATCAATAGAAATGTATTTTTTCATTTATGTTTGTTTGTTTTTTTCAAATGGCTACTGAGTTATTAGGACAAATGTATATGAAGTTACTTGGGGCTAACTACTTCATAAATGAAACTGTAGGATTTTAAGCCATTAAGCATCATGCACCAAGGAAGTTTCCAAACTTCCAACCTGATTCTCACAGTATCGTAACAGACAGACATCATGATCCCCCATTTTACTGGCAGAGAGCCTCAAACACAAAACCCAAGTCCTGCTTGTCTGCGTCCAAACCCATGCCTGGCTCACTCCAGCAATCACAAGCTCTCCTTCAATTCTCACGCAAGTCCTTCCTTGTCACTTTCTCCATGTCACCTCTCCTGTAGCCACTCAGGTACTTTCTTCCCCAAGCCTTTCTGCTCCAACAGAACTAGCAGAGCTGAAAGCCCCTTTGCCGAGCAACAGAGATCCCATCGCATCCCTCTCCCACAGGGCAGGGGCAGCCGGCTCATGACTCATTGGCACCTGACTACCCAGGTTTCCAGCCTCTAAAACTCCAATTCCTCTAAGAAACCTCCTACTTTAAGTCATTTTTAACATTCCAAATATCCTTGCCAAAACTATTTATCTTTTTTACCCCTCTCCTTCTCTCCTATCTCTTGAGCCACTATAATAAAGTTATACTTCTGGCCTCCACAATTAGGGATAAATCAAGACACAAAAAACGCATTCATGGAAAGGGACCATTCAAAGTGTGGTCCCTCACCCAGCTGTATCAACGTCACCTGGAGCTTCTCTGAAATGTAAATTCTTGGGTCCCACTCAAGACCTGCTGAACCAGAACCCCATGTGAGGGGCCCCAGGTGTTTCCAGGTGATTCTGAGGCAGCTCAAGTTTGAGAAGCAGAGGCCAAAACTAATAGCTCATCACCAGACCCCTGTCCTCTCCCAGGAGACACAGCCCGAACACATGGACCTGTTTTCCCTGCAGTGGGGTGTGGTCATTTGACTGAGCCTTTATCCAAAGGAATGTGAGAAGCAAGGCAGGCCAGGCCTATAACACATAATCAGACAGAAGCACATACACATACAGGTTGGAACGCAGACACCCTGCAGGGCAATTTGGGAGCCACACGGATGTGGCAAAGACACAAGAGGGAAAAAGCCTGGGTCCACGAATCACCACCTGAAGAGATCGCTGCTAAGAAACACCCATCATTTCTACACACATGAGAAAGAAGCTTCCATATGTTGGCCACTCAGACCTGTGGCAGCAGCCAGCCTGACAAATTTACCAAAAAAAGTTCTTTATATGTCTATTTTCATATCCTTCTACTTGAAATCTGTTCCTCCCTTCTGTGATGGGAAAACCAAATGCCTTCAGTGAGAGAACGGGGGTAATTTTGGAGCTGCCAGGGGTCAGATTATTCTAATGCTGATCCTGCCTTCCCTTGAGCAGTCAACATTTTCAACCTGACCTATATTTCATGTCATTGTGGCTGCAGCTGTGCAAACACCGCTCCCGGCAAGTCAGAGCATTAAGAGCAACAATCCTTGTAAGCGAGGGAAGGAATCTTGGCTCCAACCACAGCACTTGGTGTCTACGTCCACCCCCCCATCCCTCAAACCCCCCTGGCAAAGCTGCGCCATCCCCCATCTATAAACACACCACCTTTACACAGCGAAAAGCAGAAAGGTAGTAAATAACCTCAATAGACTTCAAGGAAAAGGCATAAGGAACTTGCCCTCAACTTCCTCCATCTTCCCATCCACTCTATGCCATTGGGTGGAACGGAGAAAGGGCTTAACACCTTTCTCCTTACTGCTCTACCAACTTATCCACCGCCCACCTGTCAGCATTCCTCCCTCCCAGAGGCAGCTTCACAAATGCATCCCATTCAAACCAACCACATATCCACAAAGGACATTATTAAGAAGCTGGTACCAAGAAATGAATTGAATGTTGGGTGGCTTTTTCTTTCCAATAAGGATGACAGAACAACCAACTGATGTCACATTATGCAGGAGACAGGACACATTAATTATTTTTCACATTACCTATTTCAAAATGACATCTTAATTCTAACCTCCTGCCTCAGATGGGGGAAAAAACATATTTCCACCACTTCCTAAAATAGTTTAAATGCAAATGCACAGGTTTGAATCATGTGCGCTAGGGAAGGTCATCAATAATTTACTCCCTTTCTAAAGACAGTTAAAAATTCTATCATATTTGAAAAGAAAATTCTATCATATTTGGAGGGGAGTGATGGGAGGATATCTGATTAAAAATTACAACAGATTAAACATAAAGTGTTCTTCCAAGATGGCCTCTAAAAGGGGAGGTAGCCTGTGTCACCCGCGGATAGCAGTGTCCACAGGGCATTAAGAAGGCATTCCCTGTGGGTCACATCCTCTAGGAGGAAAGAAATTACATTTGGTTTCCCTTAGGGTCAGGGCTCTCACAGCTGCATCTGAAACTCGCAGGTTTCATTCTAAATTGGAAGAGTTCACCATCTACTAGGCTTCATTAAGCCAAGTGCAAATGCCAGATAAAATCCTGAAACATTCTTAAAGGTCTTTCATTCTGGAGAAAAGATGAACCCAATTCCTAGTGTGTTCTTTTCCAATGAGTGTCTCGAGTTTTAGTGCGAGACTTGACTGATGTGTAAGTGAACTTAACTGTATACGGAGACCAGGCTATGTTAACATAATCGAACAGCATCCTGGGAGAGAAAGAGAAGGAAGGGAGAGATCAAACAAACCCAAGAAAAGAGCCATCAGTCCTCATCCCGCCAGCTTCGCGGTGGCAGCCCGGCCCAGTTCCAAAGCTGGGAGCCGTGGCGAATGGCAGGTCTGTCTACGGCTGTCCTTTAAACAAACCCACTGTTTCGGGAACAACACACGATCACTCGCACTCACATATTGACATTCTTAAAGTAACTCAAGCACTCACACGTGCACACAGTCACGTGCGCAAGCGCACACAAAGCAGCTGACCCTACCCATTATGCCTTCCAAGCCTTAGGTCCCTAAGGGTCTACACCTGTAGCCTGTTAAGTCCCACCCACCCCCACCCGCATGACGTTAATTTCATTCAGGTTCAACTTTAGGATCTAAAAGCTGAAAATTAGACATTTTTACTTTAGGAGAGGGGAGGTCACCAATAGCCATCAGCCAAACCCCAGGAAGGAGCATAAAGATAAAGGGAAAAGATTGGAGAATGGGGAAATGGGGCGGGTAGGAGTTCATTAATGCCAAGAGGCAGAACTTACAAGCCAACTATAAAAGAATTACAAAGAGGGGGAAAAAAATGCAGTGAAAAAAAAATTTTTTTTTGAAGAGGAATTTTGCCAGACAGGCTGCTCGTGACAAAAAGCTCGATCATTTCATCTAAACCTAAAAGTGAAAGTTAAAATAACAAGAGGAAAGGGCTGGAGAAGGGAGGTGATTATCAGCCCCCTGATGACTGAGCAGACACCCTTCATACCTGTGTTACCGTTTCCAGGGGGTAGTCAGAACCGCTCAGGTTCCCTGTGGGGCTCAGCGCCCCCCACCACGACCTGCAGGAGGCCCAGAGCTGCCGAGGCCCCACCACCACCCTCCACCTTTGAAAGGAACTGGGACCAAGCTCCCCCCCAACACCTCCATTCCTTCCCCTCCCCCAGGGCAGGCGTCCTTCCCACTGGATCTGCCCCCCTTCCTAGGCCTGGTATCTTTTTTTTCCCCCCAACAGTATTTGTTTATTTACCAAGAGAAACTATTCCTTAGCCCAAATAGTCACACTTCATAGTTGAGGAACCCAAGTCCGCGACAAAGTTCCATGGAACTCAACCCCAAGAAATCCTTTCCATTCCAAAGCCACTTTGCACTCTGAAAGCTACCAGCCTTCTTCAACGCCTCAGCATCTTTCAAGGAATCAGAATTTCTGTAGAAACCTGCCGAGGCCAGGCCCTCTTGTCTGCCAAGAAGCTCCTGCTCGGAC